GAACTCTGTTCTCATTAGCATTGGTTCACTCATTAAGTGTTGGCACCAGCCGTGCTAAACCAGTTAACTGAAGATAGAAACTTGGGGCTCATCCAGACAACAACTTTAATATGCTTTTTTTCCGAACCACATGCCAGCATAAAGTATCCTGGCAAAATCTCTCTCTCCCGACAGCTGTGCTGTAATCTGTCTCAGTGATGAAACCTGTGAGTAGTAGTGTTTTTATATGTTTGGTATATGACAAGGTAACAAAAATAATTGATGAATTTCCTACACATAGGAAAAATAACCATCGGCTGCTGCCTTTAACATGGAATGGGGCTGGGGAGAGGTGAGTTTTGACAAAGGATGTAATTCATGAATTTAGCTATCTGTCCTAGCCTGATCTTCAGGAATAGATAAGGTTATTCTGCCTTCTTCCTTTTACAAGAAAGCCAAGCTCTGCAGCCAATTCACAGGGTGGAAAAGGGTTTTCCAGTCCTGTAGAAGAAGTTGTCCTATTACATTAAGTAAACCCCTATCCACCCCAGAATTGATCCTTCTTGTGCTCTTTTGCTTTCTCTTTCTTGTGCTCCTTCTTAGTCTTGGTCTCTCTTGCCTGATCTTTCTTGCTCTTTTTGTCACTTTTTGTCTTACCCAGTCTGAAAACAGCTGATGGGTCGCTGTTTGCAGGCTCCAGTACACCCTTACTCCTGCCATTTTTGTTCGTCCCTCTGCCATTCTATCATGAGCAGAATGGCAATCAAAAGCTGCATTACTATACTTTCATAGGTATAGGCGCTTAATAAGAAAAGAAAATATGAGTAGTTTCAGAATGATCCTATCCTTTCTTCTGTAGAAATCATCTCTAGGGAATGGTCAGGCTGAAATGTATGGCTGTGTATGCAGCACTTGGAATTAGAGATACAGGTAGTTCCCCATCCTCTATTTCTCCTCAGTAGTTTTTGAAACACCCAAAGTTGTGCTTAGAGCTAGGCTTTTGTTGGATGAAAGTAGAGAGCACCACTTTAATGTCATATCAGGTAAAAGCAAAAACAGGCCACCTCAGCCATGGTTAGGGAGATCTTCAACCACTGTTAAGACACGTAAATAAGGCCTTGTTATGGGGATTAGCCTTCATAGAGATAGATGCTGAATCAAACTTACAATTACTAAATTTTAGGCTGTTTTTCTTGTCGATGCAAGATGGCATTTTATAGTTTGGATTTTAAGTGTCTTTGGCTTAGTGTGAGAAAGCTGTGTCTAGTTCCATAGTGGGTACAACACAAAAGAGAGGGTTGTTGATTTTATTCTTTCCTGGTGAAATAAATGTTAGGAGGTTTTGAGCCATAAAAATGACTTCTGTTCTGTCCTGGCAAGCTGAGACTTTCATACTGCAATTGCTACAGCAAAGAATCCAAATTCTGCAGAGCCACAGTGACCTTTTCCAAAGATACTTTCACATGGGAATTTGAGGCCTAGTTAGAAATACAAATCCACATATGGCTGACCTTTTTGCATTTTGGTATGAAATACGACCCTCCATTACTGGTTGGGGGTTCTGCACATTTTCAGCTCAGTGGGGCCAATATTGGCAGGCTGTCATTTGCAACATAATTCTTGCTCGAACAAGAACAGTTTTCTGCCCTTTTCAAGCCAAAGAAAGTTCATAGTATCTCTATCTTGCAAAACACATATGGCAGTCAGAAGGACTTCTGCCCACGCTACACAACCAAGGAGCCTGCAAACTCTGTCAAAGCTGAAAGCATTTTAATATGTACCAGAGATTAATGCATGCAGCAAAATTCTTCTGACCATTGGCTATTATTATTATCATTGTCATGTATTAATCTGGTTTATGTTAAATTGATGAGTGATTCACTATCTGAATTAATTGTTGCTTTTGAAAGCATTTATAACTGATCTTTGTGGAGGGGGAATAATACAAAATGCTTATTTATGTATAATTGTATACATTTCATATTGTGCTTCCAACAGCAACCACACATTTCCAGCTCTGTCTTGTGGCACATTAGCAGGCTTGAATTTATATGTCTTTGTGTTGATATGCATTTTCTAAGACAAGTTCTTGCTAAGTGCCAAATAACTGCACTATGCAGTTATCTTGGATTTATTCTAACCCCCCAAAAAGTCATCGTATAATATCTCTTAAAAGGTTTGCTGCTAGACAGGATACTTTATCTCACTTAGCAAAGAACAAAATAAGTTTAAATTTAGCAAATGCTTTACATAGTCTTCTAATTCCCACCCATCCCCGTCTGTCACTGTTGCTTCAACAGTTGCTTTTTAAAGGATCTAACTCACAATTAATACATTTTTATTGTTGCTATTTTGAGAAGAAAGTGTAAACTGAAAATCGGGAAAGGAGAGTGTGCAATTGAAAAATACATAATTCCACTTGAGATTGTCAGGTTTCCTACAAAATATATTTCTGTACGCTTAAGCCTTGTTCCATCAGCAAAACCATTTTTCTGAGTTATGGATTTCTCCATCTACATTCAGACTGTAAAAACAACAGCTGACAGAGTCAAATATAAAAAGAGGGATAAGGTCTGTGCTCATGATTTCCACAGCTTTCAGTCAGCCTGGCTCCAAGTGATTATAAAGTTAGGACTCTGTAGTTTTTCTTGGCAACATTTTTGAAAGTGGACTTCCTAGTGCCTTCTTCCAAGGGGAGGGGAAGGGGAGGAAAAGAGATAAACTGGCCTGCAGTATCCCAGTTGGTTTGGATGTCTAAAGCAAGACTGGAATTCAGGTTTCTCTGCATCTAATCTAGGGCTTTAACCGCCAGACCTAACCGGCTATCTCTATATCTTTAGGTTTCATTTAAAACAGTCATAAAGACCACAACTGCAGCACCTGAGGAAGGGGGAAAACCAAAACCAGGAATAGATTTTTCTATTTTCTGACCATAATACTAATATAGATTCTATCATCAATTGCTGTCTACTGAAATGGAAAAATATGTGTGATGGTTGTAGATCTTTTCCAAAATTGTAGATTGCAAGAGAGACGGGCAAATGTGTATGTAAAAATAGTAGGGTCAGGGTTAAGTTCCTCATGATCAGTGCTACAGTTTTGGTCCAGTTTGGGATCCTCATGGCTGCTTTTATTTTGTGCCATATAGTGAACTGATGGGAATACAATTAGGCAGCACTTAAGCAATGTTCATTTGTAAGGGGGAAAAAACCTCTGCATTGGGATGGTGGTCCTTCCAGGAAGATATTGATGGTCTTATTTCAACACTGGTGACTGAATTCTAGTTGCAAGATTCCATTCATCTTGGGCCAAAACAAGAAACCAGCTCCAAATTTCTTGTTACTATGAATCCTGTATGAATCTGCTTCATCTCCAGCCAGGGGCGGATATGCAGGATATGGTTAAAAAAACGATCATCACAACAGTACCACATTAAAAACAGAGACCTGATGGCGTATTGCTTGAAGTCCAGTATTGCTGGCAAACTGCCCACAACCTGGAGTTCGATCCTGATAAGAATCAAAATTGACTCTGCATTCCATCCTTCAGAAGTCAAAAAAATGATACTCAGATTGTTGGGATGCAAATAAAATGCAAATAATGCTTACATTGTAAACCGCCCAGAGAGTACTATAAAGTGATTGTGTGTGTGTGTATTTTTGTAGATTTTCATGGGTGCTGGTATGCAGGTCTTGGCATATTCGGGTCTTTTCCTGTGTAAAATTGAGAGTATCTTGGCAATATTTTGATGAAGTCCCACTCGCCATTTTCAGGCTGGTGCCTTCGGCTTCGTGCTTGTGCAAGCAAAGCGTGATGGGAGCTGCCGTAATCTGCTGTATGCAGATTAGTCGGCTGTTTTGTAACATATATATATGTGTGTGTGTGTGTGTGTGTGCGCGTGTGCGCGCGCGCATGTATATATGTATTTAGTGTCACACACACATATATATATTATGTATGTATGTATGTATGTATATATGTATGTATGTATGTATATATATGCTGTTGTCTATCTATTGCTATCTTTGATTGCATTGTCATGGCTGCCATCTTGACTTTTTTTTATCATTCCCTCTGAATACTCCTTACCTCAGCCTTACTCTTGTACTTTGCCTCAAGCTACATTTCACCTGTCAATTTCAATAAAAAATATACTTCTGTTTCTCAGTGGGAAACACAAGATATAGCAACGATTTGTTGAACTGCAAGACCGTGGAGGTGCATACATGAAGTTGAAAGAAATGTTCCTAAGTGTTCCTAAGAACACTTAACATAAATTTGGCAGTGGAACTTAAGAGACAAAAGATGTTTCTTAAGACCAGTGATAGAGCTGGATATTATAGCTGTGTTGCCTATTCTGAGTAGCAATGATTCCATTAATTTTGAACAACATGACTTTCTCAGAGCTGCTGTTTCAAACTTTTTTTGCTGGTAGTGGGAAGCATTTTGTGCCAAAAGTGCTTTTTATAGGCAATAAAGTGGGTGGAACAGAGATCAAATTGTGAACAGGGGATTAAACCATGTGTTCATCTAAGTTAAGCCAGTAGCAGGATTTAATTTTTAATATTATATCTGCTCTTCTCTGAATATGTAACTATATTTGATGCTCGTGCTTTATTAGGGGTGGGGAATACTTAGAAATCCTGTTGCTAAATATTAATTCAATATACAATTCAATATTGCTGTTGGGAAAAAATGATCCAATCCCTGAGATGTGACCTTATTTAAAACTTAGTGAATAGTGAGAATAGTGAATTCTCATACGTGATTTGGTTGCCATCTTCCAGGCTTAGGTGTGGATTAGATTTTTACTAACCACCAGGTTTTCTATTTCAACATTACCACAAAGTACATGTCTCCAAAATAGTACTAAAGTGCAGCCTACTATGTTTATTGTGATATAAAAGACTTAGAAAAGCATATTTCAAGGGGAAAATAATTAAGATAAAGTTCTTGTTGAAGTTGAAATGAAGCTTATTAATAATCTAATATATTTCTGTTTGTTTTCCAAATTACTACAGTTACTGGCTAACCAACAAAGTTTACATCAAGCGACCCAGCACTGGACTCCTTATGTATACCCTCGCAACGAGGTTCTGTGATGAAATTCACCTTTATGGATTCTGGCCTTTCCCAAAGGATATAAATGGAAAACCAGTCAAATATCATTATTATGATGACTTAAAGTACAGATACTTTTCAAATGCCAGTCCCCATAGGATGCCATTAGAGTTTAAAACACTGAACATGTTACATAATAGAGGAGCACTTAAACTGACCACAGGGAAATGTATACAGCAATAATGCACGAGTCAAGTTTCAAGAGAAATACAGGAAATTCAGATTTTATAGAACAGCAGTGGGATCCAAGCAGTGGATATAGCCCAGTGCACTGTACCAAGCCATCAGAACATAAGGAAGTGCATCAAGTCTCTATTACCAGCTGTTGTTTTACCTGTTGAAGTGCTAAATCTTGAGTGCAATGGTTCAAGTAAGTGCCACTTTTGCTAAGAACAAATCTTGAATGTATACAATCAGTAGTGTTTACAAGATCCAACAATGCATCCATCACTTGTTAAAGAAGCAAATGATTTGCTCGCTGCTCATTTGCCTCCACACAAAGTCAGGCAACATCCAAAGGAATACCCAGGCATTGAAACGAAGTGAAGTGAAGCCAAGGTGGAATTCAGACAGCAGTGGATCATATCTCAAAGATCAACCAAAACATCTTGGTCGGAGGAATGCCTAACTTTGTATTATAACCTCTTCCTCTTTTTTGTTTCCTGTTTTTCAGATTGTCATGCATTTGTCATAGTGTTTGGGTATTGGAACTCAATAAGGGATTTTAAAAAGACAAATAATATGAACATTCTAAGTGAACTTCAAGAAGTGGTCTTAGAAAAATGTCTTATTTAAAAAAAACCTGAAAGTTAAAATCGATATTGTATCATCTTGTTCAGCTTAACCTTAGTTAAAGTCAAAATTGGCTCCGTGGGAGGGCTTGTTGATGCTGTAGTATGCAGAGCCATTCCCCTGATTTTGTAGGTCACAGAAGATACTCTATGCTAGCCTTAACCCACTGACAGGAAGATGTGGTGCTGGCATGAATGATACTTAATTATAAATCCTCCTCTTAGACAAAGTGGACGGTAGAAAAGTCCTCTCAGACAGACTATTTTGAGCAGTATTTTTTTTTAAATTATAATTTGAGTACTAGGGCTTAGAATCTCCCAGTTGCTTTATGTGCCTCCCAGGGTTGCCGTATCAGTGAGATGTTCAGCATAGAAATTTAATAATAATTAAAAAAATGTGCTTCTGTTGGAGGGATTGATAAATATACGTTCAAATGAAAAACATTCTTCCTAGTTTGTTCTGTTTTAAAGAAAAGGCAGTGGTGACACCCTGATCCAGATATGTTTCATATTGAGGCTCCTGCATCTATTCTTAATTATTATTTGCCTCAAACAACAGCAACCAAAGGAAAGATTTTCAAACAAGGCTGGCTTATACCATGAAATCCGAAAGGGCACATGTTCTGGCTCAGGGCTTCATATGGCTTTGACTTCAAACTGTCATTTGAAAACAACTATTTTAAGCATGTTTTTAAAACACATTCATGATAATAAATCATATGGTGAAAGTCAGTATGGGGAGGGGGGATGACAAAAGGTAAGGTTTTGATTGTGAGGCTGCAGCCACAGAACCAGTGGTGGGATTCAAATAATTAACAACCGGTCCTCTGCCCTAATGATCAGCTGGGTAGGCGTGGCTTGGTGGTATTGTGACTGCGTGGGTGTGGCCACCTCAATGCCACTAAGGTCAATGGGCGCTTCGCCTTAGCTGTTACAATGTAATAAGGGTGAACCGAAGAGGCAGTTTCTGTAAGCAGGGCAATGAAGATTAGGCTAGAAACAACACCAGAATGTTTCATTCCTGTCTTCCTTACAGGATTAGCCCTGTAAAGTGGGGAAAAAACAAAAGGAGATTTCTTCCAACAATTGGTTCTCTGGACTGCTTAGAAAGTTACCAACCAGTTCTCCCGAATAGGTGCGAACTGGCTGAATCCCACCACTGCACAGAACTGACATTTTTTGGACTGTCACCACTTCCTGCAATGGCCTCTAATAGAAGATAAGTTAAATGGAGAAGAAATCCATGTAGTTTGGCCCTATGGCATAATTTAATCATCTTCAAAGCATTTCATATTTTGAGCAGTTATTAAAGCAAGATTGTTTCCTTGTATGGCATATGAGAAGAATACCATTAACAAGCAGGTGCCCTTACATTTGGTACCAAAGATTATGCTGTTTTTTGTAATTGATGATGTATTTATTTACCTTGTATTGACAAAAACATGTACATTTAGTGCTATCACTGTATTGCTGTACTGCTGAGGAAACTATTTTCAATCATCTCTGTTTCCGTTAACTTAGTAGCTAGATTCTGTTTGAATGACAAATTCCTTAACTTTTGTCTTTGTTCTATTTTTGAATATTTTATTGAATATTGAATATTTTATAAATGGAGCAAAATGGATTCTTCTCCCTTCTTAATTAGAATATGCCGATAACTTTCATTAATCGAAATAGGATAATAGAAATAATGAAAAGTACATTAACATTTATTTCAGATTCTGTACTGGCAGTTTTCCCCACTATTTTTAGTTTTTTTACAATACATTCACTATAGTGCTGGAAAATATCCCTCTTTTTCTTGACCTAATAATATTCTGATAAATAGTAAATGAAAAACCTCACTGCTGAGTTACTTTGACTTTCTGCTTTTTAGAAGCTTCCTTTTCTTCTACTATTTTGAAAAATCCTATTGTTGCACTTTGCTTCGAAAGGTTTTCTAAAGAATGATTTAACGGAAGTACTAGCATCAAGCAGGGTTGTACACAGAATAGCTGCAAACCTTAATATTTGAAGCACATTTAATGACTGGTGTCAAAATTGCTACAGGGTGAACCAAGTATTTCTTTGTCTCCTCATTTATCTCCAATTTCTAAATAGGAACAAAAGGAGAAAACTGCTGAAAAGCAAACACAGAATACACTTTAATTGGATCTTATGAAATAGAACAACATATAAGAAAGAATGGTTTGTAGATGTCATTTTCTCACCAATGGAAAAATCTTGAGCTACGACAACCTTCCAGGTCTTTGGTTCCATTCTCATACTTTTCCTTTTAGCTTACCTATTTGTGCCTACATACATACATACATACATACATGATGGTAACGGGATTGCTGAACCATCTATTTTATGGTTTGACTTCATTTCTGGCTTAAAACCTACCTTATTAAAATCAGCTATTCATCTCTTCCACTTACTAATGAATTGCCAATGCATCACTGTCATTTCAGAAGACCATAAGATAAACTTTGGTGGATCATACTTATATTCTGTCTAATCCAGCATCCTGTTTTTCATAATAATGTCTTTGGAAATCTCACTGACATTTGTCCTTTCCTATAACTTGCCTTAACTTTTTGATTAAGGCAAGTATTAAGTTATTTGAGTCTGATAAAGTGGATGGGAAATGGTGAACAATTCACAACAACAACCTTGAGTAAGCTTGTGACAAATGTATACATCCCAATGCTAAGAATTTAGCTGCTGCTTCTTTTTCACTAGAAAAAGTACTCGATTTCTGCAGCATTATTTTAACTGGTAGCTATTTTCTTTTTCTTGTTCTAAAGGAAAAAAAAGAACCAAATAAATTTGTTGAAGTGGCTTGTTGTCTACTCAACCAGCACAAACTTTTATTTTGATGAGGCATAGAAGCTAGCAAATTATACCCTTTCTTGTTCATTCGGTAAATAGGATTGATCTTCCTAACAAAAGAAATGTAATTTGTATTTATGGTTATTTTATAAGCTCGTTTGTTCGCAACACAGTGAGAAAATAAATACATTAAAATAATTCAACAACAAGAATTGATTGTTGTAGGATTTTTCCTTTTAGTTTATAAATATGTAAAACGGTATATTTGCAGGTTGTAATACTCACTTTGTTAAGAATGATGCATCCCTTTTTTTAAAAATGCGGTTTTTGAAAGGATAGGATATAGACCTTAAAACTTACAGGCAATCATCTTACATATGTTAAGAATAGTGCCTTTATAATCAATTTACTTTATCTTGAATCAATACACACCTATCACTGGTTTGTATTATTCTTATACAAGCTATTTGTCAATTATGAAGAAAGGGCTAAAAATACTGATTAAAACCCCTTTTATGTTTTTCATCTCGGAAATTTAAATTTTCCAAATCAAAATAGAAAGAAGTTAGAATTTTAAAAAGATTAATATATATTGCATATATTACATTATTTTAAAAATTCAACTTTTTCATTATAAGACACTAAAAATCCTATACGTAAAATAAGCCTCATTGAAGACAGTAAATACATAAACATGGATAGATTTGGACTATAAAAGAACAAAACATAATAAAAGCTTCTAAGTTAAAAATAATTAAAAGTGATTGAAAACTATCAGAAAGTTCCTTAAAAACACAATACCTTCAGCGCCTTATATGCATTTACTCGACTATGTTTGAATTTTTTTAAAAATAAGTTGACATCTCTTCTTTATAGATAGTGTCAACTTACTCACCTTTCTCTCTTATCTTATATATGATAAATTCAACTCCTAGAACTGCCTTGTGTCTTCTTTATTGTCAGATTCTGCAGCTATTGAGGGAAATCTGCCAGATGCTTTTGTCCTTGGTTTTGTTTTTTATATGCACCGAAATGAAGATTGCCTTGAAATTTCTATTATTTCTTTAAATGCAACCTCTACAACAAGTTTTTTTTTCCTTTATGCAGACATACATTGCCAATAATAGCTTTTGAAAAGAACCACCATTTAAAATCTAGGGTTGGAGATGTAATGCCTGCAGGCACCATAAAATATGGTGCTTCACAAGACATCAAATTTTAGACAGGACTCTAAAATTAAAGACTTAAAAACTTGTAATAAAACAATAAAAACAAAGACTGCCAAACTCTTGTCGTATTGACATTGCTAAATGGGACAATCTCCCGAGAGTTCAGTAATTTTTAATTGAGAAAATTTGACTAGAGCTCTGGGAGAACAAAAGGTAAATAGAAAATATACAGAAAGATTTTGGCCATACATACTAATAATGCTGTGAAATCTTTTCAGACTCTTGTGAAGAATAAATTGAAGTTTCTCTTCATTTTTGCTCTTTTCCATACCACGTTTTACTGCCAGGATTTGGGATGAATAGACTAATATTTTTCCCATTATTATTGCCCAGCATTATCTCCAACAAATATCCAAGTGCAAAATTAGATCATTTGATACAAAATCTATGGAGAAGCCTTAACCTATAAAATTAGAAAGGGAATTTATGTTCATTCAAGATTATTTTTCCTATGAATGTAAATCATAAATCAGTTTTATAAATTGGGGGTTCTGTTAGGAACTCTATAGTTTCTGAGATTAGTGATGATAAATGTACAATGAAATCTCATTTAAGTGGACTAATAGAAATTGGGAGTTATTACGAAATATCCATTAAGTTAGAGATTTCTTATAGACCATTATGTAAATGATGAAAAGTATATCATTTGTGTCAATTTATATTATTTGCATAATGATTACTATTATGCAAATGATGTTAATGTGAAAAGTTCCTCCATTCCATGTAAAAACTTATTTCATCAAGATCCAGTTAATTAAGGTTTTTCTGTTCCTGTTTTTTCCCCCTTAGAATATTCTCCTTTTATTCTGTTAGCTAAAAGATTTTTTAAAAATCAATGTTTCCTTTAGTTTGTTGTCTACCTGATATATCTATTTTATATCATCCAGAAAAAAGATTTACAAAATTAAAGACAATTAGTTGAATCTAGATTAAGTCATGCTTTGCTTGCAATCGATGCATTAAAAGCAATAGAAGGCAGGATTAGCTTGATTCACAATTTATTGCAAATTTGTTCAACTTACATTTTCCAAACTTATAGAGGGTTAAAATACATGTGTACTACCGTTTCTATACATTTTAATGAAGCTGCTTAGAAAAAATGTTAAGAAAATATATGCTGTGGATATAACACTATATAATGCCTATATTGGAAAAAATCATCATATTGGTACAACTGAGAAGAAAATACATGAATTATTTGCAAAAATGCATATATTACAAAAGTGGCTAAATATAGCAGAAAATTTTGCAAGGAAATGTGTGGTAATTTTCATACTTTAGAAAATTCAGAAACTGATGCAAGAAATAAATCAAAATAATAAAAATGAATAATTAGATAAAATTTTATATTTGCTTATTTAAAATAGCCATGTATAGAAACTGGAAAGTATTTCAGTGTTTGTTAAGTTAATTTCTAAACATGTTGATATCAGTTTCTGAAATTTTTTTATGAATAAAATATTGTCCAAAATTCATGCTTTTTCATATCATATATTCCTTGTATATTAAATGCTCTCTTTTTTGCAAATAATTTCTCCCTATGGTACTTATATGTGTTTCTGAATAATTTTATTTTGTTCATGATGTTTAATTGCATATTATCCTGCAAAATTCTAAAAGCACCAGGTACAACACAGATTTATTCTATTTTATGTTTTAACTTTTAAGAGTATTCACTGAGGCAATTATATAATTCCAATCAAACACATTTCTCCTTCATTCCTAGCTATAATTAATGAATACATTCATTTTTGTCCTAGCATTAAGCAGTAACCTAGCCAAAGGTATTTTTGAGGTGTGCAGTTTAAACTGAAATGATCGTATTTTTCAATTTGAAGATAAGACACATAGACATTCAAATTCTTGTTAGCAACTCTTAAACTGGGCTCTGTGACTTTGTTGAAATTACAATTGAATTTACCAAATATA